AATCCAGGGTGTTCTGGATGTGGTGTTCAGAGCTGCCCACCAGCGGGTTGAGGATCGAAGCCAGAAACTTGGAGATGTTATAGGTGACAGAGTTGATCATCCAGACAATTGGTCTTAAAGGTGCACCCTGTTTATGTATTTTTGGTAAACCATACGGACTTGGTGTAGATTCCCCTGGGTATAGCCTGTGGTACGAGGTCCGGTCAATAGCCTTGTCTTGTTCTAACTGCTTCAGACAGTCTATCACCCTCTTCCTGTAACCACTTACTTGGTCTTGTTTCAGGGGCTCATAAGTATTTTCGTCACTGAGTTGTGACAAAATTTTCTCATAATAGTCTTTCTGGTTTAGCAGTACTGTGCACCTACCCTTGTCTGCCGGAAGGATGATAATGTTGTTGTCATCACTAAGTGATGTGAGTGCCTTCCTCTCCTCCATGGTGATGTTGGATGCTGGGGGCTTTACATTGCTGAGACAGGCCGAAACCTTCGTCCGTAGTTGCTCTGCTTCCACTTCTGCAATATTGTTGTTACGAATTGCTGTTTCTATGGCTGTGATCAGCTCCACTAGTGGGATTTGTCTCGGTGTTATAGCAAAATTCAGCCCTTTAGCAAGGATGTTTTTCTCTGTTTGGGTGAGCTGTCTGTCAGACAAATTCTTCACCCACTTGTCCACATCCTCGGTGTTGCATCCTTGTCTCTTCTGGTCGCTGAGGACACTCTCCGTATTTTGCGGCGGTTTCTGACGTACAACAAGTAAGTCAGTGGGTTTTGGTCAGTGGTTGTTGATCAATGGTCATGAGAATTTGCATAATTAAGATTAAGGAACTGACCTCCCAGGCCATTGTTCCTCAGTGGGCTGGTTTCAGTCATTATGCAAATGTACTGTTTATAAGATTGGGGAAACCTGCAGTCAGCTGAGACTGAAGAAGTCACTTGGATGAGTGACGAAACGTGTCTCCCACAAAACGCTACGTCCAGATGAACTGAATCAACTTTTTGGAGGAGAACAAGACGACTAGACCGGGGAGAGACAAAAGGAAAAAGTAGATGAGACGGGGACACAAAGAAACATGGAAGGGAATGACAAGAGACACGAGGCTTAAACTATACACAGGCACAGGAGACAAACGTCTACTAACGGACAACACGAAGTAACAAAACCTGGAATCACAAGCAGGCGATTACTAGACAACGCACAGAGAACACGGGGAAACATGATAACGAAAACAACTGAGAACAAAACCCAGATAAGAGAAACTCTAAACACTAAGAAATGATGTGAGAATCAGAATCAGAAAAGGTTTTATTGCCAAATGTTGAGCAGGTTTACAACATTAGGAAATTGCTGCGGTGATTAGTGCAAACATACTGTCATATAACGCTTAAATAGACATGAAAATAAAAATAAGAATAAGAATTAAAAGTACTAAGTAGATAGATATATACATGAGTGCAGGTGGTGATCAGTGCCAAACATGGAATGATGCAGTGAACACAGCGTAGGGTCATGTGTTAGTGGTGGGAACAGTCATACGGTTATTGTTCATGAGTCCAACAGCAGAGGGGAAGAAACTGTTCTTATGGCGAGAGGTTCTGGTGCGAATGGACCGGAGCCTCCTGCCTGAGGGGAGCAGGTCAAACAGACTGTGTCCAGGGTGAGAAGGGTCAGCTGAGATCCGAGCTGCACGCCCCAGTGTCCTGGAGGTGTACAGGTCCTGCAGAGATGGGAGTCTGCAGCCAATTACCTTCTCAGCAGAGCGCACAACATGCTGCAGTCTCTGTTTGTCCCTGATAGTGGCTCCAGCGTACCACACGGTGATGGAGGAGGTGAGGATGGACTCGATGATTGCAGTGTAGAATTGCATCATTGTCCGTGTTGGCAGGTTGAATTTCTTCAGCTGCCTCAGGAAGTACATCCTCTGCTGGGCTTTCTTAATGACGGAGGTGATGGTGGGCTCCCACTTCAGGTCCTGAGTGATGGTGGTACCCAGGAAGCGGAATGAGTCCACAGAGGTGATGAGGGTGTCAGTCAGGATGATGGGGGGAGTGGGGCTGTGTGCTTCCTGAAGTCCACAGTAATCTCCACTGTCTTCTGGGCATTCAGCACCAGGTTGTTGTGGCTGCACCAGGACACCAGACGTTCAACCTCCCTCCTGTAGGCAGACTCATCCCCGTCCGAGATGAGTCCAATAACGGTGGTGTCATCTGCAAACTTGATTAGCTTGACAGACTGGTGGGTGGAGGTGCAGCAGTTGGTGTACAGGGAGAAGAGCAGGGGAGAAAGAACACAGCCCTGAGGGGAGCCAGTGCTGATGGTCCGGGAGTCCGAGACATTCTTTCCCAGCCTCACATGCTGCTTCCTGTCCGTCAGGAAGTCAGTGATCCACCGGCAGATGGGATCAGGCACATTAATCTGGGAAAGCTTGCCTTGGAGATGGTCTGGAAGGATGGTGTTGAAGGCAGAGCTGAAGTCCACAAACAGGATCCTGGCGTAGGTTCCTGGGGAGTCCAGATGCTGCAGGATGAAGTGTAGGGCCATGTTGATGGCGTCATCTACAGACCGTTTGGCTCTGTATGCAAACTGCAGGGGGTCCAGGAGGGGAGCCGTGAGGGTCTTGAGGTAGGAGAGAACCAGGCGCTCAAATGTCAACCTGACACAGAGGGACGAGAGACCAAATACAGAAATGGGATTAGACAGGAGTACTCTCAAAAAACAGAAAAACCAGGAAATTCACACACAACAAGCTGGATGTAGCTATGTAAATACACACACACACACACACACACACACACACACACACACACACACACACACACACACACACACACACACACACACACACAGATTAAGCACACTTTAATAATCCCTGAGGAAAGACAATAAAAACAGTAACAGGCTGAACTATTTAAATAATACTTTATATTACAAAGTTTACAAAGTATAACAAAGAGCTCTAATATATATACAAATATTTCAAATTAAATATCAAGAATATTACAGAGCTGAAATATATAAGTGTGGCAGGGCATGGTCTGTGGTGCAGCTGTGGGGGAGGCGGACACACCTGAGCAGCATCAGCAATCACACTCTGCTTAAAGCAGAATGAACTGGGTCCTGGGGGCGTCGTTGTTGTTGGTGTGTTTGGCTGGCAACTGAAAAGCTGCAGTTGCGTGTAAGTTATGACAACCGGAAATAAAAGAAAGTGTTGAAAAGTCAACGTGTGCAATATGTGGCCCTGTCTGCTACGTCTGTTACAATAAGATTGACATGTTACTTTACCCTGTAAAACTTGTGGGCATGTGCAAAAACTATTGCAGTATACTGATTGGTTAAACTGCTATTTTATCACCTGAATATCAAACACCACCTTTAACGCAACAGCTTAAATCAAGTAGAAGAACTCGTGGGAGTCTTCTGTTCTGTATTCCTCGTATTTCTGACTTCTAGTTATATTTTTGGACTTTTACAGCATTCTCTTATTTGTTGGTGGTCTGCATTTCCCTCTTCAGTTCTTATTGTTCACTTGCTGTTGCATTTCTGATAATTGAGTACGCCTCTGTCTTGTTTCCTCCCAGCTGTGGTCAATCCTCATTACTCCTCAGTGCGTGAGGGTGTCTGCTTACCCTCACTGTGTGTTTTCGGGTTCCTGTTTCTGGGTCTTCACCTTCTAACCATCCACACAAGACTGCAGACTCTGCAGCTTCAGCACAGCAAGAAGTTTTACACCTGAAACAAACATACGGCGGCTCACAGAAGCACTTTGTGTGCAGGAGGTCAGGAGGTCCATTTTGGTTGGTTGACTTTATCTGTTTCCTGTCACGGTGGAACAGGCGTGAGCTCAGTGACCAGATAAAAGTGCAGATATGGAGGCTTTGTTCCCATGAGGAACACCACATCTGTCATCAGAGCTTTGATAAAAGGATTAATCAGCCTCTTTATCCTCATCCTTCTCATTTCTCTTTTCCTCTTCCTCCTTTGTTTTTATCTTTACTTCCTTTTTTAATAGCTTCCTCTCCTTCCTTTGGTTTCATGTCTCTCCCAGTCTGTTGCTTAGACTGAGACGTGGAGCTTCCCTCAAGTGTGTGAAGAGGCAGAAGTTTGATTGAACATCACAGGGAGGAGTTTGTGTTTAATAGGGCAGGGTTAGAGTTAGGCCAGAATCATCATTATTATTGATTTTAAATAATATTTAAAGGAATACCCCACGACAGGCCCAGCCCCCTGTGTGCAGTGTTGGGTTACTGGCAGATGCAGCAGAGGATCCGGGTTTGTGCCTCTGGGAGACAAGTGGCTGAACGGTGTGAAGAAAAGGCCTCAGATGGTCGTGATGGTGTCAGCATGGCTCCTCTGGTCTTCAGCTGAGCCTTCGGGATGCAGAATGGGGCAATAAAACTGTGATCGAAGGGTGGGATCAAAGCAGAACAGATGGAGGACAAAAGCAGAAAGGCGAGACGTGAGGGCTGGATGAGAGAAGAGGTACAGAGATGATGATGATGGATGATGATGAGAGACAGGCTCAAAGAAAGACAGAGTGGAAAGAGACATTACGGGAAGGTAATGGGAACCGTTTCATTGCTGAAGTCAGTGCTAATTGGTGGCTTTTATTCGCGGTTAGCATGTTTTTGTAAATGCAGGATGGTGGAAATGTCCTCTTGTCTCGCTCTCTGAAACTGGAAAACAGAGCCAGGAGGTCGGGGGGACAGAAGCCAGTTTATTCACAGTGACTCTTTGTGTTTTTGGCTCTATTCATGGATTTGCTCATTTATTCCAGGCAACAGAAAATAAAATCAGAGATGCTCGGACTTGTCGATTCCTTTAACTTTCACCTGCTCTACCTCTGCTCTACCTATCGAACCATTTCACAGCTCGCTTCCTTTTCTTCTTCTTCTCTTTGTCAGGTTTGGGGTGAAACTGTGTGTTTGTGGCAATTTTTAATAAGTGTGTGTGAGTCGGATTCCTGTAATCATACTTACGCTCTCTCTCTGTCATCTCCCTGCAGATACTACGCTATCTGCTGCCAGCCTCTGGTCTACCGGAACAAAATGACGCCCATGCGAGTGGCTTTAATGATCGGCGGCTGCTGGGTCATTCCCACTTTCATCTCCTTCCTGCCCATCATGCAGGGCTGGAACAGTATCGGCATCGACCACCTGGTGAGTGCTGCGGGCTGGCGTCCGCGTGGGAGGGGGGATCTTTTTCACAAGTTCGTGGAAGTGAAAGCTGCCCGAGGAGACACAAAGACGAGCCAAAGATGGAAAAAAGCTGAACAAAATATGTTTAGCATAAACATTTTAAAAAATTGGATTCTGGGAAGTTTTGTTTACACGAAGAAGAAATGCTTCATGCGTCACTGTGGCAACAACAACAACAACAGCATATCAGACACAGAGACAGACAGACGAGGCTGCCGACACCACAGACACAGGGTCGAGTTGTGTTTGAGTTCAGTTTAAGATCCGCTGTGACACAAGCGCCATGCAAAGAACGGAAACAAAATGACGCGCTCACAGATTCAGTCTGGACAAACGGGTTTCACTCACTCTTTGAGGCTTTCAGGAAAAAACTCGTCCCTTTAAATGTTTATTTCTTCTTGCCCTCTGAAAGTTTTCCATCTGAAAAAGAAAATTCCTAAAATCACTGAGTTCCTAAACACTGAGACGAGCGCCCGGGACACTCTGGAAACACTAATTTTCCCTGGAACATCCCAGAATATTTACACGTGTGTTTCCCTCCCACCAGCCTACATATTCCTGTGTATTATACTGTGGATGATTAACATCCAGATGTAAGACAAATGAAAACAGTGTGAGCAGAGAGGTCAGTGTGGAGCTCAGCTGCCTGACGATGACCACACCTTACCTGTCTCAGGTGTAAGAACTCTCTGATCTTCTCTCCGCGTGTCGGGAATAACTGACTGAGTATTAATGAGGTCACAGCTTTGGTGTCATGTGCAGAAACGTGGGCATCTCTGACTTCAGAGGTACACCTGTGAAGCTGCAGGTGAGGCTCACTGATGTGAAGGCCACATTCAGCAGCTCGATGACCTCTGACCCCTCAGTGTATATCCATGAAGTCATTAGAATAGTTCCTGAGACCAGCATCACTGCCTTCTGATGCACATGCAGTCATTCTGACTATAAGCTGCCTTAAATATGGAGAATGCTCTGAGTTCAGGGGTAAAAAGTTAACCTTACTGCCAAACCTCTGCTTTGTAAGCATGTCAGATACAGTGGGGCAAAAAAGTATTTAGTCAGCCACCGATTGTGCAAGTTCCCCCACTTAAAATGATGACAGAGGTCAGTAATTTGCACCAGAGGTATACTTCAACTGTGAGAGACAGAATGTGAAAAAAAAATCCATGAATTCACATGGTAGGATTTGTAAAGAATTTATTCATAAATTAGGGTGGAAAATAAGTATTTGGTCACCTCAAACAAGGAAAATCTCTGGCTCTCACAGACCTGTAATGTCTTCTGTAAGAAGCTTTTCTGTCCCCCACTCGTTACCTGTATGAATGGCACCTGTTTGAACTCATCATCTGTATAAAAGACACCTGTCCACAGCCTCAAACAGTCAGACTCCAAACTCCGCCATGGCCAAGACCAAAGAGCTTTTGAAGGACACCAGGAAAAGTATTGTAGACCTGCACCAGACTGGGAAGAGTGAATCTACAATAGGCAAGCAGCTTGGTGTGACAAAATCAACTGTGGGAGCAATCATCAGAAAATGGAAGACATACAAGACCACTGATAATCTCCCTTGATCTGGGGCTCCACGCAAGATCTCATCCCGTGGGGTCAAAATGATCATGAGAACGGTGAGCAAAGATCCCAGAACCACACGGGGGGACCTGGTGAATGACCTGCAGAGAGCTGGGACCAAAGTAACAAAGGTCACCATCAGTAACACACTACAACAGCAGGGAATCAAATCCCGCAGTGCCAGACTTGTTCCGCTGCTGAAGCCAGTGCATGTCCAGGCCCGTCTGAAGTTTGCCAGAGAGCACATGGATGATACAGCAGAGGATTGGGAGAATGTCATGTGGTCAGATGAAACCAAAGTAGAACTTTTTGGTATAAACTCAACTCGTCGTGTTTGGAGGAAGAAGAATACTGAGTTGCATCCCAAGAACACCATACCTACTGTGAAGCATGGGGGTGGAAACATCATGCTATGGGGCTGTTTTCCTGCCAAGGGGACAGGACGACTGATCCGTGTTAAGGACAGAATGAATGGGGCCATGTATCGTGAGATTTTGAGCCAAAACCTCCTTCCATCAGTGAGAACTTTGAAGATGAAACGAGGCTGGGTCTTCCAACATGACAATGATCCAAAACACACCGCCCGGGCAACAAAGGAGTGGCTCCGTAAGAAGCATTTGAAAGTCCTGGAGTGGCCTAGCCAGTCTCCAGACCTCAACCCCATAGAAAATCTGTGGCGGGAGTTGAAAGTCCGTGTTGCTCGGCGACAGCCCCAAAACATCACTGCTCTCGAGAAGATCTGCATGGAGGAATGGGCCAAAATACCAGCTACTATGTGTGAAAACCTGGTAAAGACCTATAGTAAACGTTTGACCTCTGTTATTGCCCACAAAGGTTATGTTACAAAGTATTGAGTTGTATTTTTGTTATTGACCAAATACTTATTTTCCACCCTGATTTACGAATAAATTCTTTACAAATCCTACCATGTGGATTCATGGATTTTTTTTTCACATTCTGTCTCTCACAGTTGAAGTGTACCTCTGGTGCAAATTACTGACCTCTGTCATCATTTTAGGTGGGGGAACTTGCACAATCGGTGGCTGACTAAATACTTTTTTGCCCCACTGTATACTCTGTGTTCTCTGCTGTTTAAATGTGGAAATCTCTGCTTTAACCCATCCACCTTCCACTCGGTGAAAACAGTCCACTGAGACTGAGGTGTTTCGCTCCATATAAGCCACAGTGATCACAAGGAACAGAGACGATTTGCTCCTGCGCCCCCCTGCAGATGTGGATCGGGCTGCCCTGATGTTGGGACGAGAATGGGGCAGATAACATTCTCACTTAGCTGTGACTCAGTAAAAGTGATTCCACTCTGCCCGACACACAGCCTGAAGAGCAGCACTGGCCCACAGAGCACCTTCATCCTCTCCACCATCTCCCCCTGATCATATTTATTAGGGGTGGGTTTTAATAATCGATTCATCGATTAAAATCGATTCTGGCTTGGATAACGTGATATCGATTCATTAAAATCCTGAATCGATTTTTTTATATAAATGTATTTTGCCCAAAATTCCAGAATCTCAGGTGAAATGTCACAAAATTTTGACAACCACCAAACATTTAAAACAGTAAATGAGAGCAGGTACACGGCTTCTGCACAAAGACGTAAACACAAAGCGCGGACCGCAGATCAGAATCAGTGAGATGTCGCCTTTCTCACCCGCACGGACACAGTCGGGGCTGAAAGCCGACAGCTCGCTGATTCTGATGTTTCAGATTTAAACTTTTTAAAATTATACAAAATGCAAAACGCTTAGCCGTGTCTCTAATAAAACCTCTGTAACTTCAGAGGTAATGTTCATAAATTGATTAATGGTTTTCTTTCGTTTTTGATCTACTGCAGAATATTTTTATAAAATCATCTTCATGTTTTTCTGTGTTTTATCTTCAGTAATTTGACACAAAGGCATCTGCTGTGACGCTCACACCTTTGGTAAAGTCTGGAAAGTGTCAGCTTCCTTTTTATAGATGCAACAATATGTAAATGTACTGATCTGAATTCTAATATTTCTGACTGTCTGAGGCAAGATTTCCCAGATTCAAATCGAATTGAATCGAATCGAATTGAATCAAATCGTGGATCGAATCGATTCAGGAACTTGTGAATCGGAATCGAATCAATTCTAGTAATCAGTGACGATACCCAGCCCTAATATTTACTGTCAGTCGGTATAAATCCACTGATTCAGGCGAGAGCAGGTTACTACCTCTGTGATGAGTGGATCAGTCAGTGTAAGGTGATGCAGTGTAGCCATGACGTGACCACACAGTCAGTGAGATGTGTGTGTGTGTGTGTGTGTGTGTGTGTGTGTGTGTGTGTGTGTGTGTGTGTGTGTGTGTGTGTGTGTGTGTGTGTGGGTGTCCCTGTCTGTGTGTGAGAGTGTGTGTGTCTGTGTGTGTGTGTCCATCCTGCCTTACACACTCATTTATATTCCTCCAGCTGTCTCGGTTGCTGCTCGCTGTTTTCAGAGGTGATGGGCTCTGGTGTCATAAACAGTCTGATAAATAAAGTCTTTAACAACATGAGCATTGCGGAAATCATTCTCACATGTGTGTGTGACCGAAAACAAACACAGAGGGAAGGTTAGAGAGCGAGTGCACGAGGAGACTGTGAAAGAGAGAGAGATTGTCCCCTGCCACCTTTAACCTCGCTCACCCCGTCCATCTTCATCGAAACGCCAGCAAAACTTTCTCTGAGCTGCCTGTCAACACAAGGACCGGGGTCACACAGACACACATAAAGTCATAGACACACACACTCACACTGTGGCAGCAGCTCTCGTGGGGCTCGTTAAGCTGCTGAGTGTTGCAAGTGATTTTGGCACAGATCACGTGGAAACGAGTGTTTTGTGCAGACCTGTCAGGCAGCTGGGGCTCGTGTCACTGCTGTTTCTGATGTGCTGATGACTTTATGAAGACAGCTCTGTGGTTTATCCTGATCATTTCCATCAGTGAGGTTTGAGTCTTTCAGGTGTTCCTTCATTGTGTCACCTGAGCTTTTTCTGAAACACTCTGCCATACTAACATTTACTGTTATCATAATGTTCTTTTAATATTCTGATCATTTCAGCTTTGTGTAACTTCATAAATTAGACCGACGTGTCCTCATAGGAGTTTGGAAGTTTCTTTGCATGCTTACATTAATTACATTTTAAGGACACATGCAAATAAGAATGTCCCCGGAGTTTTGCTGACTGTAAATGGAGCTGTTATAAGTGGTACAGCGAGGAGTCGTGTAGTATTTGAAGAAAGATTTGATCCATGATTAATGTCACATCATTGCACTGTGGAAGGAACTCACCTGACAGCCAATGATTAGTTTTCTATTTTTTTGCCTTCCTGAGCATCAGAACCAGAGCATAGCAAGACTCTACCAACAAAATGTAAGCAGCATATTTTATAGGAATAAATATCAGATATACCGTGTTTCTACACTGTAAATGGACCTTTTGATCACATCATGGGTCACTGAGCAGGTTCAGTGCTTTTCCTAAAAATGCCCAAATCCCGTATCACGCCAAACAGACAAACTAGACTCTTGAAAACTAAAAGCACTATTCTAGTGCTTTTAGAATAAAAGCACTAGAATAAAATAAAATAAAAATGATCAAATTAGAATGAACGACTGCAGAGAGCGCTTTGGTCCCCGTTAGTTCAGTCATTACGGGCTTTGATGGATGTGTTTCTGGAGACAGACATCCTGCACAGATTTTCCTGCCTCTGACACGTGCCCTGCATACAATCATTAAAAACGATGAATGTAGTAAAAGCTGAACTCAAGTAAGAAAATTCACCCAGGAAACTGAATTTAAAACCAAAGGTCAAATGAAATAAGAGTAAAACTAGAGAAAAACAGATAAAGTGGAATAGCTGGTCGCATGTTACGGACGGCAAGGTCAGCTGGTCGCAGCAGCGAGCTGAGCCTGTGTGCGCACTGACTTTTCTCCCTGCTCTTTCACCAGATTAACGAGCGGCGCTTCAACAACAGCAGCAACACTACGTCCTGCGTCTTCATGGTCAACAAGCCGTACGCGCTCACCTGCTCCTTGGTGGCCTTCTACATCCCTCTGGTCCTCATGGTGCTGGCCTACCAGAGGATCTACATCACAGCCCGGGCGCACGCCCTGCAGATCAGTATGCTGCAGCGGGCCGGAGGAGCTGGTACCAGTGCCGCCGGGACTTCTGGTGGGGTTGGCGCCAGTGCACCGGATTCTGCCGACCATCAGCGCAACCACCGCATGCGAACAGAAACTAAGGCGGCAAAGACGCTGTGCATCATCATGGGCTGCTTCTGCCTGTGCTGGGCGCCGTTCTTCGTTACCAATGTTGTGGACCCCTTTATAGACTACACCGTGCCCGAACAGCTGTGGGCTGCCTGCCTGTGGCTGGGCTACATCAACTCCATGCTGAACCCCATCCTCTACGCGTTCCTCAACAAGTCCTTCCGCCGTGCCTTCCTCATCATCCTGTGTTGCGGGAGGCAGAGGTACCGCAGACCGTCCATCCTCGGCTCCGGCGCTCCGTGCACGGCCACGCAGATAAACGGCTCCACGCACGTGCTCAAGTAAGTCCTGTCCCACCCAGAGACCGAAGGTGTGCAGTCATACTCAGCCCACCCATTTACAGTCATACAGCACAGTGTTTATTGGTCTGCACACAGACAAGCTTGACCTGGATGCTGTGGGTGTGGGTGCTGTTGCCCCTTTTTTCTCTAAATGTTGGGAAAACATTCAAAACTAATTGAACATTTAGGAAAACTTGCACGACATCTGGTGCACGCAGGCATTTTAAAGTTTCAATGTAGCTTGTTGGTATTAGAGCACATGTAGCGCAGGGTTTTACAGTCACCCCAGACTTTAGTGTATTACTGCAGTATTTCTGTTTATTGGTATTTCAGTAGTAATCTTTCATCACGCCTGGGTTGAATTGAGAAAACTGTGTTTCCATGTGTGTTAGAGACGACCTTATCTCTGTAAGTACCCTCTCCTGTCCCTGCACACTCAAACGCTGCCTTGGCTTCTGACTTGTCCACCTAATTCAGTGTGTGAAGGTAGAAACGTGTTTAACAGCAATAAGGACACGTGTGTTGAATATGTTATTTTTTCAGTGTGTTTTAATAGAAGGATCTTATCTGTGCTTGGGAAAGACAAATGATGCAGTGCAGTCCTGTTTCTGCTGGAAGGGTCAAATCATCAAGCAGAGGCTGTTTATGTGACTGAAATATGAGTCATGTATGTTTAAGAAAAAGACAGGAAGTTGTTACATCTGCAACACCTTTCATCGCCGCCTATTACACAGAAACATGTAGCCATAGGTGGACATCATGTCTTCATACAGGACACAGGTTCATACAGATTCTGTCCCTCTGTTCCCTTCGTTATCCTCAGCCCAGGTGTTCTTAGCTCCTCACACTCCTTTTAATCCTGCCTACCTCCTATTTAAGGTACTGTGCAGTGGTTCAGGAGTATACAGGAGTATTTCAGGTGCTATGCAGTATTTCAGGTACTATGCAGTATTTCGGTAGTATTTCAAGAGTATTTCAGGTACTATGCAGTATTTCAGTAGTATTTCAAGAGTATTTCAGGTGCTGTGCAGTGTTTCAGGAGTATTTCAGGTACTATGCAGTATTTCAGGAGTATTTCAGGTGCTGTGCAGTGTTTCAGGAGTATTTTAGGTACTATGCAGTATTTCAGGAGTATTTCAGGTGCTGTGCAGTATTTCAGGAGTATTTCAGGTACTGTGCAGTGTTTCAGGAGTATTTCAGGTGCTATGCAGTATTTCAGGAGTATTTCAGGTGCTGTGTAGTATTTCAGGATTATTTTAGGTACTGTGCAGTGTTTCAGGAGTATTTCAGGTACTATGCAGTATTTCGGTAGTATTTCAGGTACTATGCAGTAATTCAGAAGTATTTCAGGTGCTGTGCAGTATTTCAGGAGTATTTCAGGAGTATTTCAGGAGTATTTCAGGTGCTGTGTGCAGAATGTGAAGCAAACTCCTGCTCAGGCAGACGTTGAGCTCTACACGACTGTGAGCTACGGTTTTTGTGTGGTTTCAGTTTTCTCAACCGTTGCCATACCTGTTCATTCTCTGCAGGACACACACATAGATGTCAGATATTGCTGGAGCCTTCATGTTTGAGTCGCGGGGCGTTTCTGTCTTTCCTGTCAGCTCTGCTGTGTTCCTGCCGCTGTGGAATCAAACTGTTTTCATCCACAAATGTTCAAACTTAACATCAAATTAAATTTAGTCTGCAGAACTGCATGCTAAATTTAATTTTGCACTCATATTAATATTCTATACCTCCATAGCACAGTTTTCCAACAGCGCATGTTATTTGCTTTCGGGAGGAAGAATCCATGGCGTTCCATAATGAACGTCATTAGAAGTTGGATTTCCTGCGTGGTGACTTTTTAAAATATTTGTACTTATCCTGTACTAATATTTGACTGTAATACCAGTGTTATAGGCATGTTATTCACCACAAACACATAATTAAGCCTCCTGGTGTGACACTCCGTGCAGCACCACCTCTGGACTGGAGGACATTCATTAGTCAGTTAGTTTTGCGCTCCCTGGTTAATGATCAGGATCTGTGGGCTCTGTGGAGGCACAACAATGTGTGATCTAATGTACTGTATACCAGCGGTCCCCAACCTTTTTTTGTGCCACGGACCGGTTTATGCCCAACAATATTTTCACGGACTGGCCTTTAAGGTGTCGCGGATAAATACAACAAAATAAAACTAGTACCGGTACCGAAAAAAAGATTTATTCATAACACACGTGAAAAGACCCAGGAAAACCGAGTTAACGATAAAAACGATAACAACATAACGCTGAAAACCGATAAAAACCCTGAAAACCATACATTTCACACCAGAGCCTCAACTCTCGCGGCCCGGTACCAAACGACTCACGGACCGATACTGGTCCGAGGCCTGGGGGTTGGGGACCGCTGCTGTATACTATACTGTATCTGGTGCTTGTGTGACCTCTCAGATTAAAAATATCCACATTTCAGAGTTTGACAGTCACGCTCAAACACCCACAAAGAACCTAAACATACAAATGTGATTCCCAGGATACCAGCTACATCTGCACACACCTGGCAGGTGACAAATAAATGATGCATCGCTCTGTCCATCATTTCTTTTTCTTTTGGATCCCTTTGGGATCCAAGATTGTCCTCCTCATGTCTCTGTGTCGTACTCTGTATGCTCCACACTGCTAAAGAACATTTTCAGCTTATTACCATCACTCTTACCAGAATTACCTGTTGTTGCTGTTCCCACAACTAATATGGCTGATAAGACATGGAGGAAACAGACGCAGCATCCATATTTAATATTTAGCATCATGTTGCAGGTAAACGATCACCTTGTCTGCGATGGTGAGACTCGAATCAGCTTCTGATTCACTGATCGCAGATAAAGCACTTTGGGTGTGAGAGATGATAATCAAGTAACTAACATCAATTTACATAATCAAAGTAGTTTAAAATAAAATCAAAATTAAATGTAAAATAATGAAAAAATTTCAAATTAAAACAGGTTTCTTGGTGCAAAGACAGAAGAGCAGGTGTGTCAGTCCTATCACCTCATCACCTCATTGAGTAATGTAATCAGATTACATTTACAGTGGTTGTCTTTGTGGAACAGTTAAGGTTTTCTATAAAAAACTGGATTCATGTGAAGCTCCTTGCAGGCAATAACACGTGTTTATCAGTGACATCGCACATCACCTCTTATTTGTGGAAATATTAATATAAATAATCATATATGTTCAGTCTGGTTTAGAAATGACATTAAAAAAATAAAGAAGTCCAGCTAAGTGAGATTAACAGATCTCAAAAAGAACCGGACAGACGTCTCCAGTAATCATTGATCCTGAGCCTGACGATGACTGGGCGGAGACTCAACCGTATCTGAAGGGCTGTGGCCCACATCATGAAACACGCCACAGCCTGTTATTCAGACAGGAAGTCAGAAGCCACCGACACTTTGTCTGTGTGTGCCTTTGCTATTCACTCTGTCACTCCTCGTTGGTTTTACTTCCTGTGTTGTTGCTTGGGATCGGATTTTTTCATGTCCTCACATGAGTCTGATTAAAGTTTAGCCTGAGTAATCTTCCTCCTGAACGTCGTGACAGTAAAGGAATATAAACGTAACCTGAGGTACCTATCCACTTCATCAGGCTTCACCACTGCATGCACGGTCAGCAAAACAACCTGCGAGCATGGGGCACAACCCCCATGTCACCTTCCTTCATTGGCTCATGAAGTCGAACAGGCCAAAGCAGTTTTCACAGCTTTGAGGCGTTTTTGTGTTTTGTACTGCGGTGCAGCATTGTGAGGTGACACCGTGCTCAGTGTTTACACAGGAAGTCATTCACTGATTAATCGTTCATGGACAAAACAGGCACGGGGGGAGAATGGAGGCAAAGAACATTTCCATTTTCTGCTCTGTTTCTTTTTCTTTCTGTCTTCAAAAATCTTTTTATGAATAAGTGGATGTTAATGTGAGCAATAAGCTTATTGCTGGTCAGAGGGTATTGTTGTTGCTGGTATTGTTGTGCCGCAACATGCAGGAAGTGAATTCATTTAAATAGTCAGAGCGAAAGTGGCTCGGAGGAACGCGGTTATTAAAATCGCATAAGGCTGTGTTAACATATCGCAGCATCAAATACAACGGAGTGGGTGTACACCTTGTTCATCTTCATCATACCCGCCGGGTTTATTTATGTGAAAAGCAGACTGGCGTCACTTCCACCACTGCACTGTTTCACACTCTGTGAGGTTTAAAGCAGTAATTACACCACCGTGGTTTTTATTTCCAGGTGACTTCACACTAATGAAAACACAATTATGTATATTATGTTCCAGTCCTGATGACAGATCCCCCTGAAGCCTACACTGGCTGGATTTTACAGCAGACCTTTAGCCTGACAGAGCTGGAGGAGGAATCACTGCCAAATGCCAGAGGTGTGTCAGCACGCTCTGAGATGGCTTCTTTGTCTGTAACATTACAGCGAGTGTTCTGGAGCGAGACCCACGGCGGGATTAATACGTGTCTGATTCACACAGGGCGCTGAGTCGAGCTCTCGCTGCGCTCTGACATTATCCACAGGAAGTGACGACACATTCGTCTTCAGCGACTCCTTCCATGCAGAGTCACCCGAGCCTGTGCTGTCACCAGGTCCATCTTAGTGTGTGTGTGTGTGTGCATAGGTGTCACTTCATCTAACAAATTGGCCATGTGTAGGAAGACGTCATGGAAGCTGCCTTTTGGGGAAATGATGTGTCGATAGATGCGGCGCTCGGCGCTCATTCGCTCTGATTGGAGTTCATTCCGGTTCAACTCGCCGTGCTCTCTGTACCAGAGCTATTCACAGACTGCAGGAAAGTCACGACTCAGTCAGGCAGATAATGACATGGCCCGTTACTGTCCCGTTGTTACTGTACAGTTATGAATTTGACTGAGACGGCTGATAAACGTGGAGGTGAAGGAAGCTGACGCATACGAAGAGACAAAGGAAGTTATGTGACTTCTCGCTCCTGCTACAGGA